AGGAATGAAGCGGTTTTGGGGGTGGAATGTAGTGGGTGCATTTGCCCCTTTTTTCAGGACTAGCACGGGTCGGAGGGGGATGGAAAGAGAGAGCCCCGAGGGTTTGCATATTATATATATATTATATATTATATTTTTGGCCTTTAATTCGCACTCTTGGACGACAGGAGAAACCTTCCGCCATAAAGCTTCTTGCTATACGACTCCTTCGGCAGGCGGGGGGAGTTCTCCGGGCGGTTTCTATTGATCCCTGCAAGTTCATGGAGGAATCCATAGTTTTTCAACTTCATTATTTTTTTCTAAGAAAAAAAACAACTCATACCAAACTCAACCCAAGAAGCCATGTAATATCCAATATGATTGTCTTTGCGGAGGGTTTTTTTTAAAAAATTTTTTTTGGGGGGAGAGAGTTTGAGTGCTTAGTGTTATTTAAATTAAAAAAATATATATAACATAAAGAAGAGAAGAAGAGTTCAGAATGATGCAATCTTTTAAACATGGCTGGGAACACCGGCTATACATGATGCAACCTCGTGTAACTGTCAGTCATGGATTGAGTAATCTGTTAAAGATGTTCCTACTGGGTTTTTTTATTATAAAGAATGATCTATTTCTATAAGGAAAAAGACATATGTATATTTTGGGATCTATGCATTCTTGCTACATATGAAGCATAAATGAACAATTTTAATAAAACTTTACTGCTAGGATGGAAAATGAGTTTGTTATTTTTAAGGTGCTAACATCCCTAATACCTGCTTTTCTTCTGCAAGGGTTGGGAGGGGAGGGAAGCTGGAGTCAGTAACATTAATAAGAGTCATCTCATCAGTTTAAAGAAAGGGAGGTTTCTTCCAACCCCTTTGATTTTGAGGAATGTTTTATAAAATCAGATGAGATTGTTAGAAAAGAATTGGAGCAAAAACACTCCTAACCGCTCTCCGTTCTTTTCCCTAGTTATTAAACTGTTTACATGCCTGAGCATTACTACAAATCAAGGTGTGGGGTATTGGAAACCGATAAAGTTTGTGATGAAAAACTCAATGAAAGTGGCTTTAACCTGCCATCTGTTTTCTCTCTTCTGCCTGATGGAGCTAGAATATATTTGACCTATGCAGCTTACTGCAAAGAGGGGAATAATTAGGAAATTATAAGTTTGAATGGCATGCAAATATATTTCATCTAATGTGAGATTTTCTTCGCAATAAATCTATATGCAAACATTTGAAGAAACTGTTTCTTAGTTTCTCTCTAAGTTTCTCAAAAAAGTATCCATAGTATAATAATTTCAGAAGGCCGGTATGATGCAGGACCAGGTTAGGATTCTCACAGTTCATTTGTTTGAAATAAATTCATTCTGCTTCTCAGATCTTTCTGCTTTTAAACAACAGATGTTATGCTTCTAGGGGTTCATATAATCTGGTTTCTAAAAGTCCTGAGAGATAAGTCTTGAGTGATGCCCTCTCCTGTCGGATAAATTATAGTAAAACGGTGTTGCAGTACAAGTGTGATCCATGTCTTGCAGCCTAGCATTTGCTGTTTGCTGTATTAAATCAGATGCAAATTGTGGTAATTGCAGCTACAAAGCTAAAGCAATTAACTCCAGCCTTTGGCTCTTTCCAGATTTTCAGTGTTGTCTTATGTTCTAACACACACCTGTCCTGTTTCTACCCCATTTCCCACCAGTCAATTTATTTTAGTTGATGGTAATTACTGCAGTTAGCATACAGGGGGTTGCATGTGTGAATGGAGGCTAATGAACTTATGGTGACAGCAGTTGTGAATGTGTTGGTGGTGATAGCGTGAAGGATTTCTCAAGGCCTGGAATCCAAACATTCCTGGCCTTTGTAGTTTACTTCTTGCATTTATGTCACTTGTAATATGTTAACAGAACCTGGAATTCATGGTGTGTGTGTCTTGGGTTGGGGGAGGTCTAGATAAAGAAGTTGAACTTACTCAGCATTTTCTCACATAGCAAGCTTTTATAAGTACTTCTAGCTTCTAGTCATTGATTTCTAAACTCAAGGGGGGCAGGAATCTTTTAACTCTTCTTTTTAAGCCCAGTAGCCCTTCTCTTAAAGAAGAACAAGGAGACCTCTGAATTCATTTCTTCCTGATGTAACTATGTTTTAATTAGCAACAGGTAATGGCCTTACGGAAGAGTGGAGTTCAGCTTTTACCTACCATGGTCTAAGGACCCTCCCTTCAACCTCTATAGCCTTTTTCCAGGAATCTTGGATAGGACTGGGTAAGATTGTTTATACTTGTTCTTTGGCTGATTGTGAGTAGATACAGAAATTTTCTAAGGAGTATATATAAAAAAAAATTGTGGCGATTCCTCTACTTAAGGATGTGGGTCAGGAGCAGGTTTCTGCAAAAACATGAAAATACATTTTTCTAGGTTAGTTAATCCCCTTTCAAAATACCATGAAATATGTTCTCTTGAACCTAAGCTGGAGTAGAGTTACTTTATCCAGTTCAGTTGCTGTTTCTCTTAGACTTTGATTCTGAGAAGAAGTACTTGAGATTAAGTCCCATTGAAACCACTAGACATCTGAATGAATGCACGGGGTTGGTCTGTGACGGCAAAATACAGTTCAATGGAACTTATTCCAAACAAGTGGGATCTTAGGCTCAGTCTGATAATTGAAAAATCCAAAGCCTTGTCGTGCGTGTAAAATCCCCTGTGAATAGATAAATTTTTTACAGCTTAAATAACTTGGCATCCAGTTTGCCTTGGTTTCTGCTAGTTGTGAAGATTTTCATCTGTCAGTTGTGAAGATTTTCATTTTCATCTTTGTCTTCAGATATTGATTTCCTAGAAATAGAACACAGCCACCAAACCAAGAACAGATTGACTAGTTCTATCTGCTCAACAGGGTTTTAAGACCAGTATTTCTTGAACAGCAACTCTTACACTGCATAGCAGAAGTTGTTTGCAATCTCCTATGGAGGATCTCTCTGTGGGTGAGAGCAGATATTTCTTAGGTATTCCAAAGTCTTTGGGCATACTTAAAGTAGCTTTCATGATGGTGGTCTTTGGTTGCAATCTGGTTTTTCACTGAAATCAAAAGGGGCACATCTCAAAGATCTCCCTGGTCAGTTTTTTTTTTTTACTGTTAAAAAAAAAAATACTGCTGATTTCAGTGTTTTAGACAAGAGCAATACAGTAATTGTATCCAAAGCATACAACATACTTGTTCTTCAGTCTTTTGTGATATCTCCCATTTACTGAAACTACAAGTAAGTAACTAAAGCACAGGTGTGCCATTCCATATATGTATCTGGAACACAGCATTGCTGTTCACTGAATTTTGTAGATTTGTAGTTTGAGTAGCGTATTCTGGATTGCAAAATGCATTCAGTTTCTCCATGTTAGATTCTTCAGTTGCAGCAACAGAGTAGTTGTTTCCTAAAAATAACTAAAATTAGTTGTTTTGTTTAGGACGTTTCTTGCTTCATTTCATCGTTTGTTTAGATCTCATTTTTCTTTCTGAAAGGAACCCCCAAATAGTTATGACGGATAGTGATCAGCCATTGTAGAATATCAGTTCTGATGTGGTAGACTCTCGTCTATAAAAATGTTAAGCTACAATGAATCTGCTACTCTTTAAAGGCCACAAGTTCCCTTCCTTTTTTCTGTATAATATTTTATTGAAACTTTTAAAGATACATATTTAAAAGTTAGA